TTGGCCTCCACATCCCCTTTCAAAGAAAGATGAGGAATCTGGGTACCACCTGCTTCCTCGTGCTGACCCTCGGCTTTTCCATTTCCCCAGTGAGCCTATTTCTATACTCAGTCCATGAGATGTCATGAAATTCACTGTAAGCTGCCTCGCAACAATCTTAAAAGCCTATAAAGTAAATATTGTCAGAATTATGAGAAGAAATTTAGAAACACCATATTAGGAGATTTGTATGTATCTCTCTCATTATCTTTATATATATCTTGATGGGTATAGCAGATCAAACATTTGTGAATTGAGTAAGCTGATTACCAAACTTTATTGCACACTCACGCAAGAATATTTTTCTCAAACACTCAGTTTATCTGCTCCTCTTTATAGAAAAAAATATGACTTCCCTACATTCCACTAAAATGCTCTTTTCACTGTCAAAAACGGACATCTATGTTGTCAAATCTAATAGATATCTTTGCTGTTCCTGTCTATCTGGACCTCAGAGTTGACCATGCCTTCTTTCTTGATATATCTATTCTGAGCCTCAATGACAGAACTTGATCCTTGGTCTTCTTTTCTTCTCTATCCACGTCCTCTACCAAAGGGATCTCATTAATTCTTATGGCTTTAAAACCAGCCATATGGCATCTATATAATAATTAAGCATAGAAGTCAAAAAGAAAAAAATCTGAGGCTGGATTGCCTGGATTGAAATTCCAGTTCTGTCACTTAAATCCTGTTTGAGTTTGAACAAGTTGCTGAACCTCTCTGTGTCTCAGTTTCCTCATCTGTAAAACAAGAATAATATTAACTACCTCTCTGTGTTGTTAAAATGATTAAATCTATTAATAAAGTGCTTAAAATAGAGCCCAACACATAGTGAAGGCTTTTGCTAAAAAAGCGTTTTTTAAATTGTGAAATTAAACTGTAATACAAGTATAAAGTGAACATGTGTCAAACATTTTATAGAACTCATTAGTCAAGGAGGGAACTAGTAAGGTGTTACAATGATTCAAAGAGAATTCAAAGAGAAAGAAAACACATATGCCAATTACTTAGTTGGCCAGGAAAATTCTCTCTCTGAAACCTAATCATTGAGAAGAACCCAGGCATTTGAAAACCTAGGAAAATGTTCTTCAGGCACAAGGAACAGCAAGTGTAAAGGGCCAGAGTGGGGAATGAGCTTAGAGGGTTCAATGACCAGAGAAAAGGGTAGTATAGTTACAGCGTGAAAGTGATGAGAGAAGGGGAGGGAGATAAATATGAAGTAGTCGTCAACTCTGCTCCCTGTTAATTATTAAGATATGATATAAAGGAATTTTTATACAGATTAATGGAATGTGAAGTGATAGTTAACTGAAGCATAAAGGTATTGGTATCCAAGGCCAGTGGTACAATGAAAATATGTCTGACTATGGTTTAGAAGATGCTGGGTTTAACTTATCCATCATACACTTATGTACTAGAGAGGCAATATGTACAGTGAATAGGAGTTCCTGCTTTAAGTGAAAAGAGCTGGGTTCAAGTTCCTGTTCCACTCCTTTTGGAACAAGTTACTTAACTTCTTTAAGCTTCACTTTCTTAACCTTTAAAATGGAGCTGGTAATAACATCTATCCTAGAATGTTTTGTGAGCATTAAATTGAAGGATGGATGACAAATATTCTGTGATTACCACAGTAAGTGACATGTTAAAAGACCGCAGTAAATGTAGGTTATTATTTTTGAAACCCACTGTCACAGGTTACTCACATTTTAAACACCAGCCCACATTATATAGGAAAGCCAGTATCTAAATCTTTCTAGAGATGACTAAAGTGGCTTGCGTTTCTGCTTGTCACCTTGGATGCCATGGTAACAATTCTCCTGACTGAGTTCAATGTACAGATGATTTTGCTCTCTCAAGGGTACTTTGGCTGTTCCACCTGCATTATCTTCACTAGGTATCGTCTTAACCCCACCATTCCCAATATATTTACAGCATTAATAAAGTAGGGCATGTCATGCTGTGTTAACAAATACACCCAGAAACCAAAGTGGTTTAATACAATGAAGCCTTAAGTTTTGCTCAAGCAAAGACAGTTGTGGTTTAGGTAGCTCCCTTCTTTCCTGCAGCAACACTATCTGGAATATGTGGCTTCCAATGTTGCCGTGTAATTGGAGAAGATAACTAGAGGGTTGTATGGCCTGTTTCAAAGAGTTAGGACTTAAAGTTATATCATATCTCTACAGCATGAGGTCATAAAATTGGATCTGGGGCATCCAAGTTCTTAAAACAACCTTCCTTATTCCGTGTTGAGAGTCCCTGTACCCATCGCATCCTGAGCTTCTGGCAAGCTCTTTTTGTCCTCTTTTGTCTCTCTATCTAATAGCCTTCCTCTTCTCCAGACATCCAAACATCTTTCTGTAAAAAGTTTTTTAACCAACATCTCTGCCTTACTGGCCATACCTTGAGGTCTGCATATGTGTTTTGCTTAAAAAAAGGAAGCTATCTATACTATGAAGACTATAAGCCATAGATTTCAGAGGTAGAAGGAAGTACCATCAGATAGTCTTTTTTCTTCCTCCAAATGCCCTAATATTTTAGAACCTCTTTATTTCCCTGATGTAGGAATATAAAACTGAAGTCAGTTATTTCTTTGATAAACTGAGTTTCAACTGTAATTTTTTTTCAGGGACACTATGCAATTCAAGATATGCTAAATAAGGATTCTAAAAGAAAACGTAATAAATATTGCAGCTGAGATTACATCTGGTTTATTCAGTAGCAAAAATATTCAAATATTTCACCCACTGTAAATTTAAGACTAGTCACAGATTTATTAACTAAGCTAATTTTGAATGTGTTAAAATAGCTATATAACTGAATGGAAATGAAGTAATTAAAATGTAAAATAAAAAAGCAAGAAGTAGTTCTGAAATCTAATTATGTTAATGTTCCCGTGCCACACATTGGTATCTGAAATCTACAGATATTTTGTACTTCCCTTCCCTTACGCCCATACTGCTTTCTCAGAAAAAGCATAACTAACATCTTTTAAAAATTAAGACTTTATTTTTTACAGCAGTTTTAGGTTCACAGCAAAATTACAGGGAAAGGTACAAATACAGAGACTTCTAATACATCCCCTGTCCCCATACATGCATAATTTCCCCATTACCCACATCCCTCACCAGAATGGTACTTTTGTTACACTGATGAACCTACACTGACACATGATAATTGTCCAAAGTCCGTAGTCTATATTACGGTTCGCTCTTGGTGTTGTACGTTCTGTTCTATGGGTTTGGACGAATGGATAACGACATATATTCATCATAATGGTATTCACTGCCCTAAGAATCCTCTGTGCTCCACCTATTCATCCTTGCCCTTCCCTCCAACCCCTGGCAACCACTGTTTTTCTTTTTTTGACTGTCTCCATGGTTTTGTGTTTTCCAGAATGTCATAGTTGAAATCATACGGTCTATAGCCTTTTCAGATTGGCTTCTTTCACTTAGCAATTAGCATTTAAGGTGCCTCCATGTCTTTTCATAGCTTGATAACTCATTTCTTTTTAGTGCTAAATAACATTCCATTCTCTGGATGTACCACTGTTTATTTATCTGTTCACCTACTGAGGACATCTTAGTTACTTCCAAGTTTAAAAGTTTAAAAACAGAAATACCATATGATCCATCAACCCCACTTCTGGATATACACCCAAAAGAACTGAAATCAGGATCTTAGAGATATCTGTGCTTCCATGTTCATTGCAGCACTAGTCACAATAGCCAAGTTATAGAAACAACTCAAATGTCCATTGACATATGAATGGATAAAGAAAATGTGGTTTATACATACAGTGGAATGTTATCCTACCTTAAAAAAGAAGGAAATTCTGCCATTTGCAACAACATAGGCGAAGCTGGAGGATGTTATGCTAAATGAAATAAGCAAGTCGAGAAGATAAATATTGTGTGATTCTAATTACGTGAGGTACCCAAAATAGTCAAAATCATAGAAGCAGAGACTAGAACAGTGGTTACCAGGGGTTGGGGGACGGGGAAATTATGGAAATTGGTGTAAAGTTTCAGTTACACAAGATGAATTCGTTCTAGACTTCTGCCGTACAGCAGTGGGCCTACAGTCAACAATGCTATATTGTGCACTTAAAGTTTGTTAAGAGAGTAGATCTCACGTTAAGTGTTCCTATCACAAAACAAAACAAAAACAGAGGCCAGTCCCATGGCCGAATGGTTAAATTTGTGTGTTCTGCTTTGCCGGCCCAGGGTTCACCGGTTCGGATCCTGGGCACAGACCTAGCACTGCTCATCAAGCCACGCTGAGGCAGCGTCCCACATAGCAGATCTAGAAGGACCTACAACTAGGATGTACAACTATGTACTCGGGGGCTTTGGGGAGAGAGAAAAAAAGAAGAAGATTGGCAACAGATGTTAGCTCAGGGCCAATCTTAAAAAAAAAAATAAAAATGAGAAGAAATGGATGTAAGAAAACTTGAAGGTGATGGACATGTCTGTTATCTTCACTGTGGTGATGGTATCACAAGGGTTTGCATGTGTCCAAACTCATCAAATTATATGCATTAAATATGTGCAGTCTTTTGTATATCAACCATATCTCAATAAAACTGTTAATTAAAAAAAGAACCCAAGAAAGAGAAAGACATTTGATCCAACAAGCAATATACTTAACCTAGGAGTTCAGGTGTCCAATATTTCTCATGAGGATTTCTCTCTCTCTCAGGTCATTGTTCTTATTGTCTGTGCTATTCATTTTATTTTGCAATTATAGAGGTTTTTTTTGATATTGTTGATTGAATTCATTGTTGGTCAATGTTTACATTTTTGTGTGTGTGTGAGGAAGATTGGCCATGAGCTAACATCTGTTGCCAATCTTCCTCGTATTGCTTGAGGAAGACTGTTGCTGAGCTAACATCTGTGCTAGTCTTCCTTTATTTTATGTGGGATGTCGCCACAGTGTGGCTTGAGGAGCGGCGCTAGGTCTGCGCCCAGGATCCGAACCCGAGAACCCTGGGCCGCCAAAGTGTAGCACACAAAAATTTAAATCTTGGGTTTTCCAAGATAAATATGTTCTTTGAGTGTAGTTACATTGTCTCTCATATATTATTTCTATTTCAGAGAGTAAAAAGGAGTAATCGGTATTTACTTCAAGAGATATTTTTTGTATTGGATTCAAATGTTATCCAGTCTGTTCTCAACTTACTCATTTTTTTGGAGCTCAAATCAGGTAAAACATTTGTTTTACAGTGAAAATCATTAGATTGTTTCACAGTAACCAGGTGTTAGGGAGGTTTTTCTCTTGATATAGAGCAAATCTAGAACAGTGGATTAGAGATCTTCAACTCTTTCATATTATCCAGATTAATTAGAGAACAATATCCTCAAGTAAAAATGCCAATAGAAAGCAGCATTGCTAATGACATTCCAGAGTCCTTTCTTTTATGGAGAGAGATTATCTTCTTAACACATTATTTATTTAAAAATAAATCATAAATATTTATACTTTATTGTATTGCTTTTCAATTATTTATTGCAACATTGCAAATGTAACCTTTATTCTATCCCTTATTTATTTTGATATTTAAAGCAAACAAATTTATTTGTTTAGTGTAAGTAGGGATTTATTGATTTACAAAGCAGGATTTGTATTAATCTCCAAGACTTATAAAAAAAAACAATATTTTTTATCACTGGCTGTGTCTCTGTCTAGAAAGGCTTTAGTTCCATAAGAAATTCATCAAAATCCCTAAAGTTTCTAGTATGAAAATTGAAATCAGAAAAGTCTACGCAGAGACGTGCTGAGTATATGTCCGCGCTATACCGCCCCTCATGTTGTTTCCTTGGAGGGACCAGAATGACGAGACTCATTATGGTTATAGCTGGTGTTATTTTGCACTGGAAAAATCTGTAAATACCAAGATAAACATAGACAGAACAAAGTAGCAAGATCTCCTTACTTATAAGCCAAGGAGAATAGATCTGGCTTGAAACATGAGAATGCACCTTTAAAATCCACATAGTTAGTGGAAAAGAAATGATGGGATTAGGTGAGTGTGGATGAGGAGTGTGAGAAGAGAAGAGAGCCCGTCTGTCATTGCTCCCAAGACACAAACCACACAAATATTGACAAATATGTTTTGATACAACAAATGCTTATTGCTTTTTCATAAACATTTTTCATAAACTCATATGGATTCATGCATCTAATTATTTGATGCCTCAAAGAGGCCATAAGCAGCATCTGGAGAAAATGATGCCAAGAAATATGACCTGCTCATTTCAGCAGCTGGAACTGAAACAACAGTGGATTGTGAATAATAGTACGCCTGTGGGCATACAATTATTGGATTGGGAGGGCATGCAGGGATCAATGTTAAATTCTCCTACTGGAGTCATAAGTCTTCCTTTATTGTGCTTTAATGCTGAAAGAAAGAGTCAAAAATCTTCTATATATGCACTGTCAAAAAGAGGCCTCATGATGTACAAAGCGGTGTAGAAATCATTTTCCTAGAAGAGAAAGTACGCTTCACAAAAAGAGACATACGTTCTTCCTATGGAAACAGAGAGAGAACCACTCCTCTGGAAAATTTAGACTGGTTGGGTAGTGATTTACTATAGAATATATGTTCATCAAAATGTTACGATTGCTATGATTAGTAACAATTTTTTTTCTAGGAAATAAAGACCTTCTATAGATGGAGGTTTCCAGATTATGTAATAATAACTACACTGGCTATAAATGAAAGGCATAGATCGAAGACAAAGACGGAGAGAGAAAGAGAGAGAGGGAGAGAGATCAGGAAAGTTGCTGATTGAATAATGGAAGGAGAAGATGGTGAAATCTGCTCATCCTGGGAAACTTAATACAGGAAGCTCAGGATTCTGAAGTGTTGCCACTTAACTAGTCCTGTTTCCTGTTATTTGGATAAACAGTACCTTCATCTTTAATACTGCTTGCCGATTAGGGTTGAGAATAAGAGTTGTACAATATTTGTGTCTTTCTTCGATATGTGTTATACCTGTATAATGCAAATAAGGACAAATGGGTAGACATATCAAGCCTGAAGGAGCTATGCTCACTGTGGAAACTCACACTGACAGTATCAGCAGTGCGTGTGGGGGCGGAGGGTGGCGGTGCATCATCCTATCATTTTAGGGCAGTACACAGATAACTAGCAGGACCAGATGTCATGGTCTAGGAAGCAACCTTGAGCTCTCTGGCTTTTAGACTGCATATTAGGCAAAGTCCAGACCGTTCCCTGGTAGAATCAGAACCAGGATGAAGTAGCAATTTTAATGGTAGAATGTTGACCCCAGCTCTACCTTATCAGCCAGAGTTATTCTTAGCACTAGCTCCTCCCTTGGAGTTGGGGGGGAAGGCTGAGGTTCAAGTCTCACAGTTGACCAAGCTCATAGTTGCCTTAAACACTGATTTCCCTGGAGCTCTGCAGGAGGTAATTTGTGTTTCTGGGAGGCCAGCATTCGAGAATCAATCTTGATAAGTTAAACTTACCTCTCATCCTGTGAAGTTCTATAAAAGTAATTTATGTAAATCTCTTCACCCATTCATAAGACTTTTGAAGCACATGATATAGATTTAAGATTTCACTAATAGAAAACACAATATTTAGCAGCATTGATTCAATGGTTTCTAGATAAAACCGGCAAGACTTCTTCCTTGGGCTCCCAAATTACCATCTTGCCTGAAGATGACTCTCCATTTTTACTGCTTCGTTTGAGTGCCGGCCTTCCTTATAGTTAATGTTCCAACTAAACGGAAGGTTAAAATTGTGTTCCCCACCTCCTCCCATTTATGACTGCAATTGACTTTGGTTGTTCTTCAATTTCCCATATTTTCTCCCTGATCCTCAGAAGCATAGTGAGCGCACACACATTTTAAAAATTTACCTACTGTAAAGTTGGAGGCCTCATTTCTTTTCTTTGATGGTGACTATCTTCTGTCTTCTTTCTCAGGAGTCCCCTCCTCTCTTGCTTGTAGACAGGCAGAGAGTAAATTCCCACCTCCTTACGGCCTGGCCCCCTCTGTGCACTGGAACACTTCCCGGAGTGATCCAATTCACTCCTGGAGATGCTGCGCTGTGTCTGCACAAAAAAATGGTTGATGTGAGCTTTGTCCCAGGGCTAGATAGAAGCTCTGAAATCCATTAGTTATGTGACCTTGAATAAATCCCTTCACTTTTTGTAACATAATTTCCTTTCATGTCAAATAGAGATAATAATACATATTTCTTAGGATTGCTGTGAGAATTATATGAGATACATAAAACATGGACTTTTCCTACTACAATGCCTGGCCCATAGTAGATTCTGAGAAAACATGAATTTCTTCTTTATGTTCTCCTTATAAATGTACCATAATGATTATCTTTATGTTTTCTGTAAAGTACACAGCAAAGAGATAGGGAATGAAAGATTAAGATAAATCTAGGAATATAAATAGCCACAGTTGGAATTCCAAGAAACAAGGGGAATTTTTATCTCATACTTATCAGAACTTTCTAGCTAGTCTTCAACAAGTAATAGTCCACATTCAAGCTGTCCATTACACCACAGTGCTAGAAGAATGTTTAAAGGAATTCATTTGTAACATGAATTCCAAATATATCAAAATAAAAGATGGAAGTTTATTCTGCTTTTTCAAAAAAAAGACATATATACACATGTCAAGGTTTAAACTCTTCAAGAACAGAGGCTATGTCATATTCACCTTTGTTCCCTGAGTAAAGATTTCTGGAAGAATATATGACTCCCTGCTGATGTCTTTTATGTTCAGAAACTACTAAAGCTAGAAAGTAAGTGGTCCCCAGTCTCTTTTGCTGGTATTCTTGAGAATCATAACATCTCCACTTTTCTTCAGTTTAAATAAAGCCAGGCTTCTCAAACTTGATTTTTTTTGAAATTATTTGATCTCTTTTTAATCATTTTAGAATGTCCATGTCATCAATAAACTAGAGAGTATATGATTGAGAAAAAGTCAAGGAGGTTTAAATGATAATTTTTTAACAACTTTTTGTTCTTTGCATTTTCAGCAGCAATGTTTTACTGAGAAGTAGTAGCTGCTATTTAGAAATACTACTCTAAGCTCACTGTGATCTCTCAGTTATCTTCTATAATGCTTGCATGACTAACATACATTGAGTCATGAGTTAAAATTCCATTTTAGACCTAGCTTCTCCTGCCTGTACCTTAGAGTGGAGAAACAGAACATGCTGGAGACACACTGTGTGGTTTTGTCCCTGGGGCGTGGGCTGTCCTCATATTATTGAGCAGGAAATTAGTTACTTTTCCCTTTTGTGGCAAAAGTCTTCATTTGAGAAATATTTAGACCACTCTGACTGTGATCAAACCACAAATTAAAACGACTACCGACAGAGATGGCACTAGAGTGAGGCCAGTGAGGCCCTCGCCTCTGGCAAAAGTTTAAGGGATGCCAAAAACTCAGTAATTGAGACAATAGTTCAATATACAGTTTAAAAAAATAAAAATGAATACAAAAGCTCCATGGTGAGCATTGGTATTTCTGATTTTTTCCTTTTGTCTCAGGCTCCAGGGTGTGCCTTACTGATTATCTCTTTATTAAAAATTTTGATATTTTGTTTATCATGGAGTTTTTGCATTTATTTAATTTTTGAAAATAGTGTATCAAGACACTCTTTGTCCTGACTGGGTTTTTGGTGCCCTCTTACGCTTGTTTGCCCAAAGTCAGTGCCCCTCTTGCCTCACCCTCTTTCCAGCCTTCCTGCCTCTACAACATGCAGAAAACTGTCAACACGAATGCCAACAGAATAAAACTCGAGAGAAACACAAGGGAAGCAACTCAGAGTTGCACATGTGGAGCATTGCAGACCTGAACTGAGGCAGGAAGTGGTTAGAAGTTCCACAGCATAGAACTCAAAATGATTTAATTTGAAGTAGTACATGGAAACACATCAAATGTGCTAGGTGCATCTTAAGCTCTCTGTACTGTCTGTTGTAAGCTCTGGTTAGCTATTATGATTAGTATTGGAGGCTTTACAGCTGATTTAGAAATTCCTGTACTTTATTACTAAACCTGCATCCTTTCTAACATGTCCAATAATCTTGGGCTGGGCCAAATTATAACAGTTCAGTGTGTTTAATATTTGTTTCATGAAATTTCTTACGTATTTTTTTTTATGAAATCAATTACTGCATGAGTTGGTTTAAAGAGAATTTTGTCAAAATAATTTTCCGTCCTCCTCCCACATCCAATGTTCATTCAATTCGTCCCTTGGAGAATGGCTGGTATCTGCTTTTCAGTAAATTCCATGAAATTCAAGAATTGTCAAAACTATCAGAAATATCTTAAAGTGATATAGTTTTGTTTTTCTTCTGTATTTTTAAAATACAAACAAAGTTGATATTTTGGAAAATGAAATGTACATTTTCATACTTTTGATAAAGTTGTTTTCAATTTAAACAGGAGTAAGGACTGGATTAAGTTAAATTTAAGCACCCAATTCCAAAAATGATCAGAATTTGTATTTAACAATTAAAACCATATATTTTTAACTTCCAGAACTTTTTTCTATTTTACAGAATAAGAGTTCTTCTAGCACTATCACACTTTCTGAAATTCACCTTTAAACTTGTGTTACTTACAAAATTGGGATCCTGCTCCAGAGAAAGTTGGCTGTGACAGAAAATCTATAAGAGAAGAGAATTCATCGAACCTTGCCAACCTTCGAGCAGGCTTTTCCTTAGATGATTAAATATCAGCCAGAAAAAGTGGAAACTAAATTGTCCATTCACTTAAACTCAGATTGTAAACCTAAAGTGGCTCAATAAACCAATTTTTCTTCCTCTTCCACTATCGTCTCCTTTCAAAATTACATGCACTGTTGAAGGCCCAACACAATGTCCAATTTCCATGAAGAAAGGAGAAAGTAGTAACATTTTGTTGATACTAGATCATGTGCTAGGAGCATGGCAGAACCCTGTAGTAAGTGATGTACCCACAGACGTGCTTTTATGACAACTCTGGGGACAAAATGCTACATGTCTTACCCAAGTTAGTAAATAATAGAGGAGAAATTCAAGTCTAGATATCTGAAGTTCGTGTTTTCTTCTAACAACATCATGACCCAACTGAACCTAATTAATTCTAATTATTCTCAAAACATTTCTTTATTTAAACCTGCTTTGTATCAAAGCCAATAATTTTCAAATAATAGTACTCATCACGGGGCAGTGACTGTGCCTGATAAGATCTATTTCTACTACTTATTTCACAATGTCCTGTGTGTGCTAAGTTCACAATGAACACCCATTTTGGGAATAAATCCTTAAGGAGAGAATTGTATTGCCAAGGTACCTTTAGAAATCCTTTCTGTTGGTGATCAGCATTTTCATAGAGAATAGATTCCCTCTTGGATCCAAAGGTGGTCTCAACTTCTCTCCCTCCTAGACAAAATTGGGTAAACTCAACCCATGGTGACTTTGTGACGACACCCAGAGCAACAGCAGTGCATTCTTGACCCTCTTTCTCGATAAGCTCCTCTTGTATAAATATTACACCTTCCCCTGCTCCAGTGCAAAATTACTTTCTTGAACTTATGTTAACTTTCTGGAGGTACATTTCAAAACTACGCACTCCTTTTACGTCATCTTCCTCCTTTCCCTTTTTAATTCCCATACTCCAATTCCCTCTCTTCTAACTCTCAACACACACCCAGCTCATCTGATAAAGCCTATGTCCTAAGGGGAGGATGAAAATCTATTAAGTTGAAAACTTAATCTCATATACAAATAAAAGTCTTCAAAAATATTTTTAAATTTACCTCAATTTTTGCTAAAACTGATATATGAAGAAATCTGCTTTTGTTCCAAGTGTTAAGATAAATCTGTTTTAATATATGGGAGATGATCTATGCTGGCTTTGAAATGAACCCGTGAGATTAGACCTTAGATAGTACTTATTGATAACTTCAGGTTTTAAGCATTATTTCAAAAGAAGACACATGGCTCGTCATCTATTATTGTAATCTTAGTGGAATAAGAATTCTAAAGGACTGGCGTTATTAACCTATTACTTGTGTAAGTTACCATGACTCATTTTTAAGATCAAAAAACTTTTATAATATATTTTACATCCTGACTGTGAAAATCTAATTAAGTAGACCATGCTTCCCTTTTAAGTAATCTATTTAAATCCATTTTAATATTGTGGAACTTTGTCCTTTCACTCTCTTTTTAAAAAGAGGGGGGTTGAAATTAGAAAGATTAGACATATAACCATCTCTATGTACTTCAAAGTAAAAAGTCCCTTTGCTACTAAAGGAGTTGATGAAAGTTATTCTCTGGATCCAAACGAGCTCTGTGACAGGTAATGAAATTAATTTGAGTAGTCAGATGAGGAAATTAAGTATTTCATGGATACTAAGGCAAACATCTAAAATTACTCTAAACTGAGAAAACTTTTTGCAAGGAAATGTCATTTTAAAAATATCATTTCTCTTAAGGCTTAAATGTCTTCACTGCAAACATAGAAATATATGAAGTAAAAAGAATGTCCTTAAAATCCTTTTTTATTTTAAAGTATTTAGGTACTACGGTCCATTTTACCTCATAAGCTTAACAAAAGGACACCTGCGTAAGTGAAAGAAGATCAATGCATACGGCTGATTGAAAACATATTCACGTACTAAATACATTATCTGCTTGAACTCTCTTTATTCATGGTCTTATTAAAAAGATAAATATATTTAAATGATTGAAAATTTTTAATCACCAGGCTAATATTTTTGAATTGTCAATTTCAATAAGAACTTATAAATTAAACCAGAATTTCTTCCTCTTCTCTACATCTGTCCTTTGCCCACAAAAATTGACATTTTTAAAATATTATAGGGGTCTGGCCCAGTAGCACAGCAGTTAAGTTCACACATCCCACTTCAGCAGCCTGGGGTTCGCCGGTTCAGATCCCGGGTGCGACCCACACACTGCTTACCAAGCCACGCTGTGGCAGGCATCCCACATATAAAGTAGAGGAAGACAGGCAGGGATGTTAGCTCAGGGCTAATCTTCCTCAAAAAAAAAAAAAAAGCTAAAAATATTATGGAAAGAATTCAGATAGTTCTGGAAAATATACTTTGTGATTACTTTCAGGAACTAACAATTAAATAATGTGAGAAAATGGACATGTTTATAAAAATTTTTGATTTCTGTTTACAAAAGAAGGAAAAATGAAAAGTCTTTTAAGGACATGCTGGAAATGTGTCACAGTGTAGAGAAAGATATCCTTTTCATACTTGATTCTTTAGAAATCTTCCAATAGGCTGCTTGTCTCCAGTGTGCCAGATAATCTTCCCAGAGAAAACTGCCTGCCTATTCAAAATCCAACAGGCTTTTCTGTCATTAGACAAACTGAATCCCAAACGAAAATAACATGCAACTAAGAAAATTAAAAAATGGTCCTGGTGGCACAGCGGTTAAGTTCACACATTCTGCTTTGGTGGCCTGGGGTTCACCAGTTCAGATCCCTGGTGCAGACATGGCACAGCTTGGCAAGCCGTGCTGTGGTAGGCGTCCCACGTGTAAAGTAGAAGAAGATGGGCACAGGTGTTAGCTCAGCGCCAGTCTTCCTCAGCAAAAAAGTTAGGCTTGGCAGCAGATGTTAGCTCAGGGCTAATCTTCCTCAAAAACATAAAAATAAAAAAAAAAACTTTAATTCTGAAAAAATACCTTTGAATTCATAACTTTTAAAGATATTTACAATTTTCCGTATCTTGGATTTTTTTGGTTCTTGAGACCTGTTGATCTTACATGAGCCATAAAACACATTGGAATAAATACAGGCCTCTGAAAGACACAAACGAAAGCAAAAAACCTTGGAGATAGATACATATAGATATAATTTATTGTTTTTTTATATATCATTTCTTCTTCTAAAACAGATAAAGTAGTGGTTAAGAGCAAGGACTCTCTGTCAGGTGAAACTTATTCCAGATCTCAGCTCCTCCATTTACCTAAACTTATGATCTTGGGAAAGTTAATTTTTTTAAGCCTCTGTTTCTTTGCCACTTAAAATGGAGATAATAAAACATAGTTGACAGTCAGTTGTCTGAGACTGAGAGACGAGATATACAAACAGACCGTGACCAGACTGTATTTGATAAAAGGACTCTGACCAACAACCTCTATAGAGACCAGCCCAGGATGATCAGGACTTTGTCCATAATTGCCAGTTTTCCTATTTTTTTGCCCCTATTTTCAACTCAGGATCAACCATAGAAAGCCAAATATGCTCCCAAACCAATGACATATTCTAGTTAGTGGGCCTCCAGCTCTCCCATTCTGATGGCCTCCAATCAGAGCAGACCGGAAACCTTCCTTTTTCTCCATCCTAATGCTTTCCCATTCCTCTGCCTACCTTTGAGTCTCTCCTAATACCAGTGGCAGTGGCTTGCTAAGTAGCAAGCTCTGTGGAAATCGCCTCTGTTCTCACCTGGGCGGTCTTCATTTAGTTCCACAAGATTCAGTGAGAGAATAACCGTGAAGATACTAGTCCTACACTTTTGGGATATGATTGCTCAGTAAATGGACAGAAATGCCTGTGGCCTGGCTGGGTCTGTATTCACCTTAATTCTGCCGAAAGTGATGTTTCCAACATGTTTAACATTTTATATTGTGTTTCAAACATTTTGGCACGCAGATATTCTTGCTCTCTGCCAGTGTGCATGCACACTGACTATCTGGAACTAGTAAAACAATTACTTTCATTTAAAAAATACATTTTTGAGAGTAGTGAGTCTCCTGTCATAAAAATCAGGCAAATGATGGCAAACGACCTCTCCAAGATACTGATGAATAGGATGGGAGGTTGAGCTAAAACAGGCACATCAGGATGACCCAGTGAGCATTTAAAGAATACAGGCCATTTGGCCTCAAATATAATCTAATGAATCTGAATACATAGTGGCTAGGATCCAGGATTAGGATCATTAAAAGTCTTTCCAGGTGATTTCAACAAGACTAGTCTGTAAACAACATTGACAGACACCTAAATTAGACGATTTTTCCATTTTGTCAAATTTGAAATATAAAAATATCATCCCCTGGGCTGGCCCCATGGCCGAGTGGTTGAGTTTGCACACTCCGCTGCAGGCGGCCTAGTGTTTCATTGGTTCGAATCCTGGGCGCGGACATGGCACTGCTCATCAAACCATGCTGAGGCAGTGCCCCACATGCCACAGCTAGAAGGAACCACAACGAAGAATATACAACTATGTACCGGGAGGCTTTGGGGAGAAAAGGAAAAAAATAAAATCTTTAAAAAAAACTCCCCATATTACTGTGTTAAAAACAAAAAAACCTAGAAAATAAGGTAAATTTCAGTTATGTCACTTAATTAGAGAATTCTCTGTTATTAAGATTAACATCAAAATATAGTTTTCCATTCCAATCTTACATCCTCTAGACTGGAGAGGCGATTTGCATTCCAGACGTCAGGGAAAACAAGACTTTTAGTGTGAGCTCAGGCTGCAGTTATGTTTTCATTCACACATACAACAAAAATTACGGAGAACCTAGTGAGAACCAGGCACCATCCTCTTGAATTCCCTCACACGCTGGAGTCATTGCTCTGTGAACACTGCCTCTCACTCCTCAAATCTCCTAAACTCTTCTCTTTCCCTGGCACTCAGCCTAGGAGAGAGTAGATTACTTCAAAAAACTCTTATGACTCAAAAACTCTATTTTCTATGATGATAAAAAATACGAGTGAGGAGGACAATCTACACTCAGGCAGGAACTCTGCCTGTCTGGGGCTCTCTGGGCTTGTTACTGGGTCACTGCACAACAGACA